TCTGCAAATGTTTCAAAGCTTCACCATACGACCAGACTATGAGATTCACCAGCAGAGACCCTCTTTGATTTGTACTTGGTTTTCATCCCTGCTCCATCCTGCTTTCCTTGTCTCCTCCTGAGAGTACTTATTTAGTAAATTACATAAGAATTCCTGACTTGGCTCTGCTTTTAGGGAACCCTACCCTAAGATATATGATATGCAAATCATCTCTAGAAGAATGTATCCTGATCAAAGGTCTAAAAAAATTTTCCAAAACATGATTCTAACAGACATTAGCTCACAAAATTTATAAAATAACCACAAAACTCTATAATAAATAATATAGAAGGAAAGTCACTGGAAAGAAAACACAAAAAATTTATAAAATGTAATCTTTAGGGGAAAATATATATTATAGATATAGGTATAAAGAAGAAACTGAAAACATGAGAATAAAATTATCAAATGCAAACAAATTAGCAAGACAAAAACTTTTAGTAGCATACAATAAATGAAACAAACTCATTATGTGGATTAAAGAGCAGATTAGAACCAAGGGAATACGGGATTAGTATGGCATAAAGATGATAAGAATAAGTATTCCAAACACTGCACAGAGAGACTGGAAAAGTGGTGAGATACAATAGTGTGACAGGTGAACCACACCTAACACCCAAGCACAGGTCTAGCTGTGGAGAGACAGTGGCAAGAGATACAGTCTAAAACTTTAAAGTTCATGAGAAATACTAATCCGGAGACTCAGAGGACGTCAACCAAATCCCAAATAGTATAAATAGAAAGAAATTCACTATTCAATAAATATCACAATTGTGTGGTATAAGACTGCCTAGATTTGAATCTTGTCTGTGTTGTTTACCAACTAGGCAACTTGTGATGATACTTTAACATTCCCTTATCAGTGTCTGCTCTGTAAAAGTGGTTATAAAGCTGGGCATGTTGGTGCACACCTGTAATCTGAGCAGCTTGGGAGGCTGAGGCAGGATGATCGTGAGTTCAAAGTCAGCCTCAGCAAAAGCAAGGCACTAAGCAACTTTGTGAGACACTTTCTCTCACTCACAGAGGTATATGATTAAAAGCCGATTCCTTATTCACTACCTCAAAATAAATAGTAGGTGAATCCACCTGCTCTGCCCTCTGTCCCTTGTCAAAGTCCATCTAATGTCCAAGGTAAACAATGACTCCTCTTTAGGTGAGTGACAGAGAATAGCTGATGTGTCCATGTATATAAAAGAAAGAAAGATATTTTCTGCCCCTTCTGAAAACAGAAAAATTCTATCATTTAGAATGTAAATTCATATTTCCAAGGGCCAGATATTTCAGGTGTCTTCAAGGTCTTGACTTCATATCTATGGAGATAATGCCCCAACCATTCTGTCTTCTAAGAGCTTAATAAGCAGAACTTATGCAACTATAACCATTTAGGTCTTTAGGGAGATGAGTTTTATTATTTATTGATCCTGAAATTAACTACATAAATAACATAATACTCATAGTATATGAAATCTCAGAGGGCCAGGGCTTTTTATAGGACAACTGAAAAAATCCAAGTTTTAAATCACCAAAACAAGTGCTTGGCATATGGTAAGCATAATTTAAAGGGTTTGTTATACAAGTAAAAAAAAAATAGATTAATGAAACAATAAAGAGCAGAAAGTAAAGAAATGCAAAAATATATAAATGTAAAGATCAGAATAGACAAAATCTGGTCCTTTGAAAACTAATAAAATCGACCAATCCCTAGGGACACTAATCCAAAAACCAAAGATATACTGCACATGCAAGCAATACTCAAATGAAACAGGAAATATAACAACAGGGATTGAAAAGATGAAAAGAAAATACCTTGAACAACTTTATTAGGACTATCACATTGGAAAAACATTTGACATTATCTGGTGAAATTTAAGATATGTTTGCACTGTGACCCAGCAATTTTGTTCCTGAGAAGGTTACCTCAAGAAAACCTTGCACAAGTACACCAAAGGAAAAGGCCATGAATGCTCATGGAATCATTGCTCAGATTTACAATAAAATTGAACACCAAATGTTAATATACAAGAGAATAAATACTGAATCTGTGGAGGCTTCATATAATAAAATGTGGATCAACTGTAAAAAAAAAAAACTAATATACTATCACTACAATGCTGCATATCAACTGTAACAAATATAACAACCACCACCGTTGGACAAAATAATAAATTGAAGAAAATTATTTATAGTATTATACTATTTATATAAATTTAAAAACAACCAAAGGTAGGCAAAATGCCATTTGGAGAAGCATATCCATATTTTATAGTGAAATTATTCATAGAAGCCAAGGAATTATAATTGCAACATCTAGAATGATGGTTATCCTGAGTAAAGAGGAGCTGTAGGAATGAAGCCAGAGCAGAGACAGCCAGTTTCAAAAGTATCAAATGCAACATTTCTCAATTGGCAAGTGAGAGCATTAGTAATGTTCACTTTATGAACCTGTGCTATGACTACTATATATATATATATATATATATATATATATATATATATATATATATATAAAACCCTTACTATTTTATGTGTAAAATAGTTCAATACAATTAGAGCATTTTATCTGAAAAATGTAAAGGTGGAAAAGAAAGGAAAGAGAAAGGAAGAGAAGGAGGGAGAAAGAGCAAAGGGGAAATTTTTTGTAAAATCTTCACCCAAAACATCAATGGCAAGGTGGAAATGAAACAGCAAAACAACCCCAAACTCTACCTTATAAAATGTCTTGGATTTGGTAATTTAACCAAGTTTCCTGACCTAATGTGTAAGTTCTTGTATTAAAGTATATTCGTGGCAAATAAGAAAGGATCTTAGTTTTGGAGTTAGCATAGAACATAAAACAACTTAAACATTCTTAAAAGTAAAGTAACTTTAACAACAGTATTAAATATACACTTTGGGCAACTTTGTGAATGATTCTCATCTTTATGAATGAGACCTCACCATTTGGCTTTCTAGATGAGAAAGATCTTTTTCAGGAAGATTTTCTGGGCCAGGCACAATTCCTATGAATCCCTCCTACTTCTTTCAGTTAAACAGGTTAGGAATGGGCACTGGGGTGACCATGACCTTCAAGGCCAATAGGGATAGTATCTTCTCTTGTTAAGCTCAGGTAGGGGCTGGGCCCCAACAGTGTGCAACTCTTTGAAAAGGTATTTAACACTACTTTGTCCCTAAATTGGTTCACTGTTGCAAATGTGGGACCATGGGGAATGTTCTTCTTGGCATCTTGTAGGGATTCTGACCGTGGAAATGTACAGGGAAGCATTCCCCTGGGGAGAAAACTCCTGGAGGGTAGCAGGCACCCTATTTCCCACCCTTAGAATGCTCTGTAATCTCTCTTAGGATCTAATAATATATGTAATATATGTGTTATGTCTAGCTGATATGGCAATGCCCTGAGATGCCTCTTTGTTAGAGCCTCATCAAGCCTCAACTTTTATTGCAGGCACATAGCTCCTAGGAATAGAAGAACTTGTCTATTAGATAACTACAATGTTTCACCAAGCCCTGGTGCTCCTGGAGCTGCCCACCTAACAGTAATTTCAGACAATGGACTTTCTTGAGAATTGGACAAAGCTCCTAACATTGCATATTGTAACTCTGAAATGTAACTGCAGAATAAGCAGCCTTACTGATACTCTAAGCAATAATGTGTTTATGGTACTAATGACCTAATATATTCTATTGGTATAAATAAACGTGGCTTCTTGGACAAAGAGCCGTTCTGCCACCATCCCTACCTCTGCACTTTGTCTCTCTATCTCTTCTTTATTATTATTCTTCACATCATCTTTTTAATTTTACATAGATAATAGCTGTTAACGATTTTTTTTTATTTTGAGACAGAGTCTCACAAAGTTGCGTAGAGTCTCACTAAGTTGCTGAGGCTATCCTTGAACTTGCAATCCTCCTCTCTCAGCCTCCTGTCAAGCATTTAATGTTTGATTAATTGTATGCTATATTTAAAATATTATGTAAATTAAGATACACACATGGTGGGTCAAAACCAGAATTATATAAAGGAATTCTTCATAAAATTATATTTCAAAAGATCTCTCTTTTGGCTTTAAATACAAGAGGAAGAGATTTGTTTTACAACTCTCCTCTCCTTGGTGCTAATGTTCTATATAATGCTAATTAATGCACATGTGTAACTAATTTAAGTGTTATAGGATTCAAAGCAGTCTTAATTCCCCCTTTTCCCATAAGTAGAATAACAAAGTAAGTTTATGGTCTCTAGACTTTATAGTGGACTTAGAACCGAATTATAAAACCATATTTCATAGAAAAATCTAAATTGACTTCTCAGGTTATGAATACTTGATTATAGTAGGTACAGTTCAGAAATAGCCCCATTTTAACTCATCTGGAAAAAGCAGTTATTCATTATTCTGAGCCTGATGGCCAGGAAAGAGGACAGGAAGGGCATAATTTTGAGCTGTCAAGCTTAGCACATGTATATAGAACAAATATCCCCACTCTATTCTATGGCAGAATTGAGCCTGATGCAGATGGGGCTAGAGGAGGTGTCCAGATGGTGGTGGAAGAAACACTGGCCACAAAAAGTGTAGAAAGAAATTTTATATGTGCTCTGTATGTATTATTAAAATACATATCATTAAAGATGCCTTCTTTATGAGGATGACAGCAATCTGAAACTCCTCTTTATTACTCACCAGTTCAACATTTTTAACATTACTATCTTAAAAGGGAAGGAAAGATAGAGGTAAGATTTTATACTCTTTCAACAGCATTTATAGAAATGGCAGTCATCCTGGAAATACCATGTTTCCTCTACCAAAGTCATCTTAAGGATAACTCTCTGAATTTTTACTTAAAGAAAATTGTCAGAGAGGACCCACACCTAATAAAATGTAACAGACCAGTGAAGGCAGAACAAGACAGTCTGTGTTAAGGGAAGTCCACTTCAGCACTGAGCTGAGAAAGGAAACAGAAGAGCTTACCTTTATGATGGTTTGCACTGGATACAACTTTCCCCCACAAGGTTACAATGAATATTATTATTAGCAGTTTTCCTTTTGTTGCTTTCTGTAAGTATCTCTTACTCATCCTGCAAATTAAAAAAAAAATAAAGATCTTCAGTAAATCATTGCATTTCTATTATAATTCAACTGCATTTAAACCTTCCATGACACCTTTATACACATAATTCCTGATAATTGTATTTTTTGCACTTGAAATCATTTGCTCTCTACAACATGAAGAGGGCACGTGAGACTCTTTCAAAGCACCTTAATATGAAGCAAGAGTTAAGCAAAGTCCTACCTGAGTTAGACTGTACCAACTTAATAACTGCCTAAATCAATTCAGAAATATTACCATTTTTTCTCCATATAAACATAGATTTGACTTATTAACAAAATGTAGGACATAGTCATTTGAATAATCTTTAAGTAAATGATTTATTGTTTTACTTTTTTTCCCTAAAGAATCTTTCTTGACACGAAGTCACATGGTTAGGGTAAACAATTTAGATAAAACTGCTCAAATGAATTCCTGCACAGAATAAAGTCACTTCAAATCTATTTTTTTGTAATAGGCTTCTAAAAATCATCTAGTAACAGAGCTTTCTTAACTGCAAACTAACCTGCTCAACTAATGTGGCAATCTGTACCTGGAGACACAAAGTTGTTAGAAACAACCTCTCTGTACTTTATTAGAAATAGGAGAAAAATGAAAAGGCTGAACAAAAAAAAATGCCTAATTATATGTTATTAATGTTTTCAAATTGAGCCCATAAAACTCAGGAAAGCAAAAAAATATATGATAGTTATCAATAATAAAAGTTCACCTACTTTCGTCTGCACATTATATATTATTTCTTTTGTCTTTTGGGAAAATAAACTAGGAGATAGTATGTCCATTCCCATTTTATAGCTGATTCAATTTGGAAATTTTCCTGAGATTGCATTTAATGATAGAGGAAAAATTCAAACCCAGAACTATATAATTCTAGTATCCTTACATAAGCCACTACATTGCTAGGAAAAAGCAGAACTAACAATGAAACAGGTTCCATGTACATTTATTTATGGGGGGAGATAAAATATATGTGTATCACCCAGTGCCTTTCAGCCTCAGATCCCACAAAGAACTCCATTTTGGCTTGACCTACATCTACCCTGTTTCTAATGCAATTGCCTGGGGTCACTTCCTTACCTAACTGCATTTCTTTTCCTCCTGTCTTCCTTAAGTTACCCTTTCCTCACACCTTTACCTCCAAAAAAACATTCTCCATCTTCAAAAATATGACCCAGCGGTAGCAATGTTGGGTATATGATCTCAGAGAAGTCTTTTACATGGATAATGCATGAAAAAATAAATATCTTACATATGTCAATAGAGATATATGCTTACATTTACTAACAAGGGAAAGTTGTATACATTAATTTATATGGCGGCAAGGAAGCAGTATTGTAGGATTAAAAACAGGAGTTCCTGAGTTGGACTGTCTGAATTTGAATGTAGGTTGTAACAGTTTCTAATTATGTGATCATTACACTATTAGATTTCCTTCTTTCCTCTCTTCCTCCCCTCCTTCTCTCTTTCTTTCATCTACTGCTTTAGCTTCTAATGCAAGATCTTTGATGCTCCTGCTGAAGTTCCTTCTGTAATATGAGGTAATGTATGTGTAATATCTGGCCTACTGACTGCATATACTGAGGGTTCACTGTTTATGAAATTAGAAAATATTCAGTATTTGGTTCTATTTGGTCCTTCAGTCTTTGAAAAACCTGTCTCCTTCATGACATGATCAAAAGGAGTTTCCGTAACACCTATGGCTGCAAACTTTCCATGGATCTTAATCTTGTAACATGTTAATAAAAAAAAAAAGTACAAGGGGCCAGATATTTAAGCTTTAAAATTAATTTACATGGACTCTTTCCTTTAATCCTCGTATCAACATAATGAGATAGGTATTATTATTATCATTATTGAGAAGCCAGAATTTAAAAACAGGTAGTCAGGGGTAGATCCATAAATCGGGCCAGACTGAAGAAAATAGAACAAATCAGTTGAGTCCAAAGATTGGAAACTGTGCTGATGGGAGATTGAAATGTGAATGTTCCCAAAGCAGGGCTTCTACTGCCCATCCTAAAGAATTGTTAAGGAAGCAACTCCTGAGCAGACTGGAATTACTAATTAATTCACCCAGGACCCCCTTCCTACCCAGATCACTCCTCCCTCCAGCTCACCTGTTTCCCACTTTTTGGCCATCCCACTGAGCATCTCCTGGGCCTTGTCATGTATGAAAGAAGGGGAGAAATGAGGGGAAGAGAGCAGGGGAACAAAGAAAGTCTAGGACACATTAAAAAAAAAAAAAAAAGCAGAATGCCTTCTTGGGATACCAGAATACCAACAATGGCCCCTTTTGCCCTTCCAGGAGAAGTCTATGTTCCCCTTCTTAAATAAACACTGCCTTATATGCTTGCCTCGGTGTGCTCTCTGATGTTATACTTTAACACGTGAGGAAGCAGGACTCATCATTGGTAACCAGCAGTATCGATTTTATTGGCAATGGGTTTGAATCAAGTTTCCCCCTATGTGACTTTGAACAAATTACTTAATAATTTAAAATATTTTCATTGTCAGCAGAATAAGAATAATACCTATTTTACAATATTGTTGGTAGGAAGGCCAAATTTTAAAAAGTCCATGTTAAGTTCAACACTAGGCTTAGCAGACTGCAAACGTTCAATAAATGTTACCTGTTACTATGATCCCTGCTTAATTCTATCAGCATATCCTATTCTCCTTCTGTAAGACAGCAGTTCCAGAGACTATTAACACTGTCTTAGTGAAAGACAAAGGGAGAAATATATTTGTAAAATTCTGGGTTCAACAAATTTAAGTAGAATTTTAAGATGCATATTGTTAAATGTGCCTTCTCAGAAACATTTTCCAGAAAACTTTTCCCACGAGTAACGAACACAGGACACTAGTGTCCTCAGAGAGCCTCTTAGAGAAATATTGAGTTTTAATAATGATATGGCTTAGTACTCACTCGCTCTCTCATTAACAAAATGCCCATTTCAAACCTTCCATTCTATTGCCTTTGTTTCCTGTCAGCACTTTGTTAGTTTTAAATTCTCCCCTTTTTTCCATATTTTCCAACTGCCTGCCTCTCTGTCTATATCTAGTCCTGAAATCTTTCTGTACAGCTGATCATGTATCAGAATGAACAGCAAAACCCAACTGACAGGAAGAGCTGCTTAGCATAATTCTTGATAATAGCTTTCCCATAGCAAATAGCCTCTGCTCTGAGGTCAATGACCCATCATTTTTTCCATACCATTGTGTACCCACCAAATGAGATGACAGAACTGACAGTTGGTCAGACTGATAACTAGACATATGGAAATGGAAACACCTACAAAGTCATCAGGCTGTCAAAGTAAGGAAAGAAACGAGAACACAGGTCAACATTTGGAAGGCTGTAATAACACTACCTTCTCCTTCTCTTACCTTCCCATCCTTGTTCCAGTCAATCACCATGGATTGCCACTACCATCTCCTGAGTGTCATTACATGAATACACTTACACCAACCCCGACGGCAATACTGCAATTCAGACAACTGACATTTCTCCCTGGCCACAGCATCCTACCCACACCCCCTGCCACACGTATCACCTTCCTATAGACTTAAATCCATATGTCATTCTCTATGCTGCAGTCAAATTAGGAACTGTGATCATGAAACACCATTGCTTAAAACCTCCACATAATTTTCCTCTATAGGTAGGGGGGAAAAACCCATAGTCCTTAGCAGGGTATAAAAATCTTGTCTCAGGGTTTTGCTCTGTTTTGTTGTTTCTTTGTTTTGTTTTGTTTTAATATTGAGGATTGAACCCAGGAGTACTTCACCACTGAACCACATCCTCAACCCTTTTTTAATTTTTTTTATTTTGAGATGGGGTCTCGCTAACTTGCAAGTTAGGCTCTCGCTAACTTGCTGAGGCTGGCCTCAGACTTGCAATCCTCCTGTATCTGCCTCTTGAGCAGCTGGCATTACATGTGTGAACCACCTTCTTTGTGCCTCTAATCTTTTGATGGTTCTAATCTTATTTTATGACAATTCTCCCCATCTTTGTATCCACACATATTCATGATATGTTTTTCAACTCCAAGAAATTTCCTCAGTGGCTTCCAGATAAATTTCACCTTAGGTCACCTGACATATCTCAGCCACTCACCCCATCCCAGTCTTTAAAATGGCTAACTTCTAGTCATTGGTCATGGTGCAGATGGGAATTCCTTACATAGGATTTGTTCAAGACCATTTTGTTGTGTGTCCTTTTTTAAATTTCTTAATTTGTTCTAATTAGTTATATGTGACAGTAGAATGCATTTTGAAACATTGTACACAAATGGAGCACAACTTCTCCTTCCTCTGGCTGCACATGGTGCAGAGTCACACCTGTAATGTAATCATACATGTATATAGGGTAATAATGTTCATCTCATTCCACCATTCTTTCCATCTCTACACTCCCTCTCCTCCCTTCACTCTCCTCTGCACAATCCAAAGTTCCTTCATTCTTCCCTACCCATTCCCCATTGTGAATCAGCATCCACGTATCAGAGAAAACATTTGGCCTTTGTTTTTTTGTGTTTGGCTTATTCACTTAGCATGATATTTGTCACCTCCATCTATTTACCTATAAATGCCATAATTTCATTCTTCTTTAAGGCTGAGTAATATTCTATTGTGTATATATACCACATTTTCTTTATCCATTCATCTGTTAAAGGGCGTCTAGGTTGGTTCCATAGTTTAGTTATTGTGAATTGAGGTCCTATAAACATTGATGTGTCCTTCTTTATATACAAGACCCGTTTGCCACACTGTATAGTCTGTTTCCTTGTCTTCATTTAACATCTCACATATGATCCCTGAAAACAGGGACTGTTCCCTATTCATTTGTGAATATACACAGCCTGATTCAAGGTACAGCCCAATATAAAAGCTGGAAAATAAAAACTTCTTGAAGGTTGGTGTTGCCTTACAGCCAAATACCTCATTTCCTCACCACAGGAACAAGAAGCA